GGCGGGCAAAAGTACTTTTTGGTGGTTTGGGCGCATTTAAGAGCTCCTCATCCTTCTCGTCTCGTTTGATTAGCTGAGAATGCACATCTTGTTGTCCGACCATTTCTTCGTCCTCAACAACAGCCGGAATGGTGGGTCGCCACTCGCCTGAGGTGGTGGCGTTACGGAAAAATCATTATTTTAATTGCGAGACGTTTAGCTCATAGTCCTCATTCCGTTATTTCTTTAGGTTAGGCGCAGGAGTTCGCCCAGTGGACTCCCTCTCATGCTTTGTTTGAGTCTCCGTCCTGCCGGCCTGGGGCGTCAGGATATTAGTGTCCTCATCGGATCCATCTGGAGACCAGCTTTTGTCACGAGTAGGGATGTCCTCATCCAGCATCGCGGACAACGCTCGGCTCAGGGAAATATCATTGTTGATACCATCGAATTTTTCTTCCATGGAATATCTTTTGTGTTCATTGTCCAGCTTAACCTGGAAGAGAATGCACCTCTTCTGGGCCTTGGCGCGACGCCTTCTCGCCCGTGAGGGTCACGGGTTTGCTCGCGATCACCTATCGGAACCCCTACTGTGGGCACGTCCACCGACATTTCGGTTATCCCATCAGTACTTATCCCCCTGGTGACCCGTTCGGTCTTGGAGAGGACCGATTGTATCTGTTTCGTGTCCATTATGTTGTTCAACGCGCCAATCTGCGCTTCTCGAGATATTAGACACGATGTTAGTCTTATCGTAGCTCTCTCCCGCAGCGACTGAATCGCGGGGCACGACTTGAATATTCCCTGTTGTATCTGGCGGCCCCGCGTCGACTGAGTCGCGCGTTTCGGCTGATAACCAGTCTTTCCTCTGAGAACCGGGGTCATATCGCAAAGGAAATAAGATCTCATGTTCACTTTGCTCAGGGAGAGCGGAGGCGAGATGAGACATTGATAAGACAGATATCCGTTAAGCTAAACCACTCGATCAGGAATAGGAAGGGAGGAGGAAGGCCGAGGACGGACGACGACGGACCGCCCGCGCCCCCAGCGCGCTCCTTTTCTCTCCTGCCAGCCGAGTTCGGCTGGTTTGAGCAGTAACACAGCTGCAGAAACGCAGCGTCAGTACACGCGGACAGTTCGTTGCATGCAATCTAAGTTATCTTCTAATTGAGTATTAGGCGGAGAGGAGCATATTTACTCACCAGCAGCAGTTGCCGATTGGAAGTCCACGTGGCCGTCGTTGGAACGAGGGGCGTGGGGGACCAGGAGCCCCGCGTGCCCCCTGGCTCCAGCAACAGAAGCATGAGAAGAGCAGGTGTTGCAATTGCGTCATGCCCCCAGCGCGTCTCTGCAGCCGGCATTGCAGGATGTGCGTGCGGGCCACCGGCCGGCAAGCGCCAGTCTGTTGCACGCGCCAAGGTGCAAGCCTTTGTTGCTCGCAGTGTGGATGTCTCAGGACTGGCGTTGCTGCATCACCGACTGTGCTTACGTTGCTCTCGGGTGGTACCAACAGCTGCCCAAGCACCCTGCAAGCGAGGATGCCGACCTGTGGGAAGAAATCGGACATGTGTTGCAGCATCGGTGTCAGGATCATATTTCTGCGATGTCCACCCAATGTCGTGCCATGTGTTCCGCGTCTCGCTGGTCCTCGCGTGTGCATGTGGCGGAGGGCTGGCTAACTAAGCCCCATCTCTTGACATGCCCACGCGCCTTGAAGAATCTGGTTTTGTGTGCGGTGTGGTGCGGTGGCTGACGAGCCACTGCGCTCGTTGGGCAAACCGTGCACCCGTCGTTTGGCCCCGGCAGACCTTGCCCGAAGTCGGTCGAGCTTGCAATCCAAGGCTATCAGCAGAGCCGAAAAGGCCCAGAAGGGCCGTGGACAACATTTCCTCTGCCTCCTCCTCCTCCTCCACCTCGTCCTCCTCCCCCTCCTCCACCGCGTCCTTTGCCTCCTCCACCTCGTCCTCCTCCTCCTCCTCCACCTCGTCCTCCTCCTCCTCCTCCACCTCGTCCTCCCCCTCCTCCTCCTCCTCCTCCACCTCGTCCTCCTCCTCCTCCTCCTCCTCCTCCTCCTCCTCCACCTCGTCCTCCTCCCCCTCTCTCTCCTCCGCGTCGCGGGCCCAATAGGTCCCGAAACCGCGCCAATGGTCCTGCGGCAAGCGCTCGACGCCCGCGCGCGCCGTTTGCCGCACCCGCGCGCGCCGGGCCGCTGAAGAGGCCCCATCCCGAGGCCCTGCCCGAGGGAAGACCCCCAAGGGGCACCTGGAAGCGAGTCTGCCAGGAGGTGCATCCTACTGTTATCTTGCATCCTCGGGGGACCTTGTCTGTCCCGTCGCTGTCCTATCCGCGTCGAATCCGTGTCGAATCCATGTCGGACTCGTCGGATCCGTGTCGAATCCGTGTCGAATCCGCGTAGAATCCATGCCAAGTCCGCGTCGAGTCCGCATCAAGCATGCGTCGGACACAAGAGAAAAGAAACCAATTTGGGGGACAGGCGAGGTCCCCCGAAGATGCAACGTAACTACTGTGCTTGCACTTCTGGGGCAACGGATCGTTCGTTGGAACCAGCAGGACAGGCAAGACAAGCCAACCGGCCGTGAACCTCATCGCGGAATTGCCGACCAGCCTCGGGTGCACACTGTTCACTCACTCATCGGTCCTGGCTCCTCCTCCCTCATGAGATCCTTTGGGAGCACAGGAGCAGCACCACAAACATAAGAACATTGGGAACTTCGAGCAGATCTTCTGTGACGGCGCTGAACTCCACTCCCAAGCGCGCGGAACGTACCAAGGGCCAATAACCGCCAAATGGGGTTTCAGCGCCAACCCGAGAAATCTGCGCGGACCTCCGACAGTTTGTTTTACTTGCCACCGCAAGAACGCGACAAACTTCGCACCTACAGTCCGCTCAACGCAAAAAAAAGCTGGAGAATCACGAGGAGCATCTGAGTACAATGCCCTGATATAGACCGCCCTGCCAATGCCAAGAGAAGATGATGAACCCAACCGCTCGGCAGGTACATCAAGCACGAACAGGAGGGCCTCGCCTTTCGTTAGGTCGGGCATGTCCTTCTACTACAGGCGGATCTTGGAAGAAACATGAAACATAATCAAGTAATGCTCAACAATAGTCCAAGCATAAAACAACAGAAAAGACCCCCAAACATTTTTGACTATTTCTGAACATCGATCCCGTAGAAGGCACGGCCGACTTAAGACTGGCGTCTCGCTGCCCCGCCGACCGCAAACCGCACAGCGATGGTTTACCCGCGTACTCATCGCCAACGGGGGCGGCACACAAGGAGCACGAAGCTTTTGTAAACTGGCGAGCGGGCCCACGTGCCACATGGCACCGCCACTCCGCGGAAGTGCCAGATTTGCATGAAACTGTCGCCGCGTCAGTGAGCAATGGTGCACAGGAGCAGCAGGAGGAGGAGGAGCAGGAGGAGATGGCCTCCTCGTTCTCGTTGTTCCGAAGTGTAAGCACTGTCTGGAGTCGCAACAACGGAAGGGTATGAAGAAGAACACGAACTGCGAAAGGGTCACCCCTGGATTAAACGCGGGCATGGCCAGGGCTCCCTTAACGGTGAGATTTACCATGTCCTCTCCGAGGTAATTTCTTATAGGCAAAATTATGAGCAAATCCGCGCGCCACTCAGGCCGGGAGCTCTTGAAAGCAGAAAGGTCCATCACGCTGTGATGCCATTCTCGGAATTGATTTCATGACAGGATGTGAACTGCGAGCTCCGCAGGAGTCGCAACCCGAAATGCGGAGGGTGCCCCTGGATACAGGGCGGGCATGCCCAAGCCTACCCAAACGGCACTTCTCCACGGGAACCTCTGTTGAGGAAGTCCACTCGCCATCCAGGCCAGGGCCTCTCGACTATGAAAAAGATGCAGCTGCGAGAGGCGCAAGAGTCGACGAGCGGGGCGGCCATAGAGAAGACGCTCACTAAATGCCCTGATTCACTTTTCGGGCAACTGGTATTGTCTCATTTGACCCGTGCATGTAAAATTGGAGAGAAATTTCGATGCAAGCGCGCACTGCCCCAACAGCCCGAGCACGGGATCGACTGCAAAATCGATGTCACCCCAAACTTGGACTTCCCGTCAAACCCGTGAGACAAATGCGTAGATAGGAAAAGAAAAAACGCCATGAAGACAAACTTCTGGGGCTCCGCGAGGATTTCTTGGATCTGCGCTAGACCACCCTGGCGCGTGGAGCGCGCGGGAGGCGGCGCGGGAGGCGCCGCCGGGGGGCCCAGCGCGGATCCAAGAAATCCGCGCGGAGCGTCCAAAAAATATGTTTACGTCGCTGTTTCTTCTCCGAGTAAAGCAGTCTGTAGATCCACGGAGCAGGCATGCTCCGCAGACTCGATGGGACATCGAGTCTGGGGTGCATCGATGCTGCAGTGGATCCTCTGCTCGAGTCGCTGCTCTGCCCTCTGCCCGTGGCCCGCGGCCCGCGAGTTCCGCCGGGGCCGCGGCGCCCCCCCGCCCCCCAGGGAGAAGGCCGACGGCTCAGCGGACCGTGGAGTGCGGGCGCCTGCCCCCCCTCGCCGACAGAGACCTCCCCGCGAGGCGGGAGCGGGCCCGGGAGGGCGCCTCCTCGAGGGGGAAGATCGGGGGCGACAAGAAGGGCGGACAGCCCCGGGGCGGGCGCCGCCCGCACTCGCCCGAGGGCCGCGCCGGAGGCGCGGGCGATCGGGCGCACTCTGGATACATGTGCTGCTCTGAATGGGCCCTGGAAACGACAGGGCCGTTTTTTTACCGGTTCCGACGCCGTTTTTTTTGCCGTTTCCGGTCGCCGTTTTTTTGCCGTTTCCATTTTCAAGGGACACTTGTTTGGAAACGGTGAAAAAACGGCCCTGCCGTTTCCAGGGCCCACAAAGGTGCTGCTCCCCCCTGGGCTATTCGCCCCTGTCGTCGCCTCCGAGAGAGGAGGCAGCAGGTGCTGCTGCCCCGCGCGCGGGGGCCACGCCGACTCGCCGCCGCACCGGCGCGTGCCCGCGCGGCACGGGCTCCTCTGGCGCTCGTCGAGGTCGGTCGGCCTGCGGGAGATGCTCTCCGACCCGATGTCGCTCGACTGGTCGCTCATGGCTTCTTTACTGGTTGAGGCTGGCCCCATCTCGGGCAACATGGGAACCTGAGCATCGTTTCACCGATCCCCATCCCCATCGGCGTGGCCTGGGCCCCACTGGCAGATGTTCCCCCCCTGGGCGGGGACATGGGTCGCTCCCTTCGGGTTTCGAGGGTGTATCCCCAACTGTGGTGGTAATTTGGTGGGGGTCTCGAAAAGGGATGAGGACGGGGATGGGGGCCGCACTGGTGTGGCCTGGGCCCCACTGGCCGATTTGCCCCCCCTGGGAGGGTTTTATCCCCAACTGGGGTGGTGATTTGGTGGGGGCCTCGAAAGGGGATGAACGATGGGGCTGGGGGCTGGTTCAACGATACCAGGGACCTTGAAAGCCTCGGCGACGCGCCCGACCGAAGTCCCGTCGCCCGCGCGGGGCTCGGGGGCGGCCTCTCGGTCCGCGACGAGCCGCCTCCACACCGCGGGGCGGTCTCCGAGAGGCCAGGATGCCGCGGCCTCGGGCCACGGGAGCCCGCGCGGCCTGCGGACCAGGGGGATCCCGTCCTCGGGCCACGGGAGCCCGCGCGGCCTGCGGACCAGGGGGATCCCGTGGCCGCCGCCGCCGTGGGGGCGCCCGCGGGCCGGCTTGGGAGTCGAGGGCTGCCTCGGCGCGGGCGTGGCGCTGGGTGCCTCCGCCCACGCCAGCGCCGGCCTTGGTCGATGCATGTAGGGGAGGTTGCCGCCCGCAACGCTCGCCATCCCTGCCGGCCCAGAGTGGGGGGGATCCTGAAGTGTAGCTGATGGGCCTGTTTTCCACCACCACCACCATAAGTTGGAGGGGGGAAGGAGGTGGAGGATGAGGAGGAGGAGGAAGAAGAAGAAGAGGAGGACCCCCTCCCCCTCCTACTTATCGTGGTGGTGGTGGAAAACAAGCCCACCAGTAGCGCAGGGTGCTTGCCAAAAATGGTCACTAGAGCCAACAAAAACGCTACGGTCGCGGACCTCCGACAATTGGTCTAGGTCGGGCATGTCCCCCTACAGGCAGCCGTTGGACGACAAATGAAAAATAGTAAAAAAAAAGAAGATGCTCAAAAATAGTCAAACACTGCTCAAACAATAGTCCCTGTGCTATTTTTTGTTACTTGTGACTACTCCTCCTGCAGAGGGACAGGCCCGACTGGACAATTGATCTGAGTGTGTGTTCCTTCGCGCCGATCCTCTTCCCTCCTGGTCACTCCCTCCTCTTCCCCCCCAGAAACCCGACGTCGCGACAAAATCCGGGCATTACCACGTGTCCCGACTGGAGCCTTGGACCCTTTCTTCTGCGGCGTGCCTCGAGTTCGTGATCTCCGCGGGGTTGGAATAGGGCGAAAACGCCCAGCACGAAAAACATGCTTCGCCGGGATCTCAAGGTCCGCCCTTCCTCCCCCTCCTTCCCAGACTCCCGGCGCCGCGATACACCCACAACTTGGACCCTAAAACTCTCGAACCCTTTCCCAGGACCAACGATTGATTTAATCCCGAACCGCTCTGTGGTGGCCCCAGGGGCCCAGCAAAGGGCCCTTCAGAAGCCGAACTCTTCTTTGCAAACCAAGCCTCGTGACCTTCACGTCGCAGCGATGCATGTTGCCACGCCGCACGACCGAACCTGGCACGGAGCAAGACTGGGGACGATACCCAAAAGCAAATTGACCAACCCGACAGCGCCTGGGCCGGCGTTTTTTTTGTTGTCTCACCGAGCGCAACTCCTGCTTAAAACGGGCAGGGGCTGCAGCCGCTCCTCGCGCTCATCATTCTTTCCGCACCTCATGCGATCGCGCCGAGCATGGGCCCTCCTTCGGAGCCGCGCACGGCCCTATACAATTAGGTCGGGCCTGTCCCCCTACAGGGGGAATTTTTGGACGAAAAATAAAACATACTCCAACAAATTCTTAAAAGATGCCCAACAATACTCAAAAGATAGTCTCTAGACTATGTTTTGACTATTTTTGGAGATTCCCCCTGTGGAGGGACAGGCCCGACTTAACTATACAATCCTGGGGGGCGCCAAAAAACGGTGCGGCGACAGACCGTGCGGTGACCTCGACAGCCCCAGGGGACCTCCCTGAACGATCCGACACCGCACGGTTTCTGGGGGCCCCAGGGCCCCAAAACCGCGCGTAAGTGTCCTCGGAGAGCGACACGGATCACCAAACCGTGCGGCCGCCCCGAAGCGCCACCCACTCAGCACACGGTGTGGTCCACGCTCCGTCTCGGGGCCGACCCCCCCTTGCCCCGGGACCGGATCTCCAATCCGCGAATCGTTGTTTGACGCTCCTGGGGCCTGGCAAAGGGGCGCCGGAGGCCGAACATCGTAATAACAACACCAACAACAGCAACAAAAGCAACGATCATTTTAAGACTGCTCGCGTTTATCTGCTCGCGGGCCACTCAAACGTATATCACTCCTGAAATCATTCGTAAAATCTTCCTCGGGAAGGTTTTGGAACCATTCAGAACCTCCCAAAAACCTTCCTCCGGAAGGGTTTCAAGAGGGCTTTCTTGCAAAAGCCTCACGCAAACCTTTTTTGATCAGGAAGGTTTCAGGGTGGTTTTCTTTTGGAAACCTTCCAAAATCTTCCTGGGGAAGGTTGTAGAAAAGTTTTGAGAAAAAGGGATGGAAACCTTCCTGAGGAGGTGTTTGAAAGGTTTTGCGGATAATCCTCCAAAAACCTTCCAACAGCATTCGTGAAGAAGGTTTTTGGACAGATTTGTGTGGGCCCCAGAGGGAGGAGGGAGAGAAAGATGTTTGAATGTTTTGTTCCAAACAACCTCCCAAGCACCGTCCTACAACTGTTCAAACACGGCTCAGACACCTTGCGAAATCCTTCCAAACAACCTGCCAAAACCTTCCCAACAACCTTCTCACAACTTTCCAACATCCTCCCAGCAACCTGCCAAACACATCCCAACAACCTTCCAACATTGAGCGAGATCGCCCAATACAGTAAACAAACCTTTTCAAAGACCTGCCAAAAACCTACCAACAACAACCTCCCAAGAACGTCTCGCCCACCTTCCATAACGCTGCCGAGCCGTCAAAAAACAATTTAACGAAAAAAACCTTCCAAGCACATCCATCCGTGCTACCTTACTCAGGAAGGCTGTTGGAAGATGGTTGGGGGAATGTTCATAAACACAAGACCTGCCTACAACCTTCCACGGGCAGATTCTTGGAAGGTGTTGAAACGGTTTCGTCCCAAAGCGTTCAAACGAACATGCCCGAGGAAGGTTTTGCCAAGGTTTTCAAACGGATATCCCCGAGAACCTTCCAATAATCCTTGAGGAAGGTTTTAGAAAAGGTGTTCGTTTACGAGGCTCCACACAGAACCTTTCAAACACCTCCCTGGGAAAGGTATTAGGATGGCCGCTTAACAAGATTCCCTAACAAAAACCTCGCATCAACCCTGCTGCGGAACGTTTTGAGGCTGTTCAAACGAACTTCCTTCTACAAACCTTACAACAGACTTCCCGATAGGGATTTAACCCGGAAACATGCTTAGCAAGACTCCATTCAGAAAACTCTCAAACACTTTCCTGAGGGAGGTTTGGAGCAATCCTCTCGGAAACCGTATACCAACCGTCCTGCGGCAGGTTTTTGGCTTTATAATGATGCCTTCTGAAAACCTCCCCAACACAAATCCACCCACGACCCTTGCAAAAACCTTGCTGAAAAAGGTTTTCGGAAGGTTTGCATGAGGAGTTATTAAAAAAAAACCTTCAAACACATATCCTTGGCACCGGGGGGCGGGTTGGCGATGGTTTTTTGTAAAGAAACCTGCACAACACCTTCCTAACATCTTCCAACAACCTTCCATCAACCTCCCAAAACCTTTCAAAAACTGTCCAGACACCTTCCGAACACCTGCCAACAACCTTCCGAAATCCGTCCAAAAATCCTCCCGAGAAGACTTCCAATCAAACCTTCTTCAGAACAACGTCCCACAAACCTTTCAACATGTAGCGGGATCGCCCAATACATTCCAGAAACCTTTCAAACACAGATCTCCGGACACGCCAGCCAACAACCTTGCAAACACAGTCCGAGCTCTTTCTAAACACCTGGCAATAACCTCCAACAACCTTCCAACAAACCCTCCAACAACCTTCCGGAAGCCGTCGGGCAACACCGTCCAACAAACATTGCTATAAAAACCGTCCAACCAACCTCCCTGAGAAAAAAGGCAGGAAAATTGTTAACGGGATTCCGCCAGAAACCGCCAAAAAACATTCCTGATGGAGGTGTTAGGAAGGCTTGTAGGAAGGCTCCACCCAAAACCATCCAACAATCTTCCTGCTGAAGCCGTTGTTTTTTGGTTTGGGACCGATTCCTCCAACAATCTTCCAAACACCTTCCGGGGAACAAATGTTAGGAATTCGATTAAGAGCATGCCCCCCAAAAACCTTACACAAAGCTTCCTGGGAGAGGTTTGAGGAAGGTTTGTTTAAAACAAGGATTACTCTAACAACCTTCCAAACACCTGCCCGAAGACATATATTAGATGAGAGTTCCCAAACAACTATTCAAAACCCTGCCTGGGGAAGGTGTTTAAACGGTGTCACCAGGATTCTTCACAACAACCTTCCAAAATCGTGTCTCGGGAAGGTTTGAAAACGATCGTTACTAGGATGTCTTCCAAACCCTTCCAAAAACCTCACCGAGAAAGGTTTCAAGGCGGTGTCGTAGCCAGGTTCCTCCAAACACATGGCAAAAACCTTCCTGAGGAAGGTTTGAGGAACGCTTCGAGGAGGAATCCCCCAAAGACCTGTCAGAATCCCGACTGGAGAAGGTTGTGACACAAAGTTCTCTCAAAGGATTGCGAAACGTTGTTTTGAGGAATTGTTCAAAAAAGCGTTCAAAGACCTTCCTCTGGAGGGATGTTTGAAGGTTTTCGAAAGACTGCGCCTACAAAGCCTTCGCAAAATCATCCTCGGAAAGGTTGTTTTGCAGGTTGCTTGAGGAAACCCACTAAAGCCCGTCCTACCACCTTCACCAGGATTTTGGAGGATTCGTTACAAACAAACCGAAACTCTTCCCCAGGAAGGTTGTTGAAAGGTGTTTGGAATATTCTCTCTAAAACCTTCCTGAACGCTTCAACAGGAATGTGTTTGGCAGGTGTTCGGGGAAATGCGCTTTCAAACCTATGTTAAGGCTTCACCAGGGACGTGGTTGGAAGGTTCTTGGAATAATCCTCGTAACAAGCCAACCTGAAGGCTGTTGGAAAGTTGTTGGAAGATTCTTCCAACAACTTCCCAAAACCTTCTGGAGGAAGTGTTTGAAAAGTGTTTGAAGGAATGCTCCGAACAACCTTCTTGACTGCTTCCTCAAGAATGTCTTCGCGAACGGCTTTTCGAAAAAATCCGCCTAAAGACCTGCCGAGAACCTCCCTCCGAAAGGTTGTTGACAAAATGTTGTAGGAATCCTAATGCATACCGTTCCAATGAACTTTCCTCGGGAAGGTCTTCGGGAAAGTGTGGGGGGACCCGTCAACAAAAACCTTCGCAAAACCTTCATCAAGAAATATGTTGAAAACATGTTGGCGGAATCTTCCTAAATCTTCCTACAAACTTCCTCGGGAACGTCGTTGAAAGATTTTAGACGAATGGATTCAAACTCTTCCGCCTAAAACCATCCTCGGGAAAATTGGTTGGAAGGTTTCTGCAAGAATCCTCGTGCAAAATCTTCCGGGAACCTTCCTCAAGAAGGTTTTTGAAAAGTTGTTGGGCGAATCCTGTTTTTGAAAGCCTTCCTAAAACTTCCCCCTGGAGGGTTCAGGAGGGGCTGGCCGAACTGCCGCACCCAACTGGCCCCCTAAGGCAAGAGAAGGGAAAACGGATGCAAGGAAGGGAGACATAGGAAGAGGAGAATGGAGGGAGGCTGGGATAAGAGAACACGTGGCAGAACCAGACGGGCAGATCGGGCGGGTAGACCCTAACGGGCGGATCGGGAAGGCGGGCCCACGCGGCCAGGTCGAGGAGGCAGGTTGCTGAAGCGTGCGTCCTGCATGCCTCGCGAGGAAGTCTTGAGCGATAGCGCGCATCCCAAACAAATCGTGTCGAAATCAATAGCGAGGGCGTAATTCCTGAATGTCGAAAGCGCGGCGTCCGAATATATTGCGAGGAAGTCCCACGCGAGAACGAGAACGCGGTTGGTGAAAACATTGAGAAGATGTATCAAATGGGAACCGTTACTCTTGTAAACCGCGGGTCAGGGGCACAGATGGGTGACCCTTCGATTTCACTGTAAACAAACGGGTGCGAGCTCCGGGAGAAGCACTATTCCTCATCAGTGAGAGCTGAACAGCAATAATAACGACAGTCATGTCAATACTGATCGCTCATATTTTCTCGCGTGTCACTCGACGCGTATATCCACAAACCCTCGGTACACGCGCTCTTCGCCATCGATCGCACCACCTCAGGGGCATGTCTTCCTTATCTGCAACGTGTATTTTGTGCAGTCCCTGAGTCCCTGAGGCAGGGGAAAAGAGGACGTATGAAAGAAAGGGACAAGGGGAAACGAGGATGATAAAGCGCGGGAGAGAATACTAGTAACAAGGGGGGCTAGGAGCAGAAAGCAATCGGCAGAACCAAACGGGCACAACGGGCGGATAGGCCCTAACAAGCGGCCAGGTCGAGCAAACGGGTTGCTGAAACGTGCGTCCTGCATGAATCGTGATGAAGTCTCAAGCGATACCGCGATCAGCAAAGGGGCCACGAAGGACAGCGATGGGGGCCACGAAGGAACGGGGCCACGAAGGGCTGCAACGGGGTCACGAAGGGCAGCGAGGGGGCCACGAAACGCTGCAACGGAGCAGCCAAAAGGCAGCGAGGGGGCCACGAAACGCTGCAACGGGGCAACGAAAAACAGCGAGGGGGGCACGAAGGGCTGCAATGGGGCCACGAAGGACAGCGAGGGGCCACGATGAGCAGCGAGGGGGCCACGAAACGCTGCAACGGGGCCACGAAGGGCAGCGAAGGGGCCACGACGGGCTGCAACGGGGCCACAAAGTGCAGCGAGGGGGCCACGACGGGCTGCAAGGCCACGAAGGGCAGCGAGGGGGCCACGAGGGGCTGCAACGGAGCCACGAAGGGAAGTGAGGGGGCCACGAAGGGCTGCAACGGGGCCGCGAAGGGCAGCGAGGGGGGCACGAAGGGCTGCAATGGGGCCCCGAACGGAAGTGAGAGGGGCCACGAAGCGATGCAACGGGGCCACGAAGGGCAGCGAGATCGCGGTCCCCAAGTCAGCTGTGAGGGAGTCGTAGGTGTCAGCGCGACTCTTGGGTGCATGAGTGTCGAGAGCGCGGCGCACGAGTAAAATTGTGGACAATCCAACGCAAGAGCGCGATTCTTGAATAACTTGCAAACAAGTTTCAAGCAAGACCGCGACTCCGAAGCGCCGAGAACATGATTCCAATACATATATATATATACACATACATATATACATACATAGATATAGACATATATATATATATATGTTGTGAGGAAGTCGAAGCGAAAGCGCGACTCCTGATTGAAATGCGGGGAAGTCTCAGGCGGGAGCGGGGGTCCTGGTTGAATTGTGAGAAAGTCTCCGGCAGGAGCCGGTGTTGTAACCTGGGGGCCAGGGGCGCAATTGGACCCCAGCGACTTTCGCTGATTGAGAACAGGGTGCGCTCCTCCGGGCAAACACTTCAATTGAAAAACGCAACGGTCACAGGAGGGGGGGGGGATGAACAATGATTATTGTTCAATAGAGGCGCTTTAACATCCAATGGTGTTGCAAGGCCGGCTTTTCAAGCCCCTTGCATCGGGAGCGGCAAGAGGGGGGCGTCAAAGAGGGGGGGGCGCCAATCATGGCTGGCGGCATGTGCGCGGCCCCGCGGGGGGGCCAGGGACGTAATGAAATAAGAAGAGGCGCCATGAGATCTGGGGAGATATCATGGCCCGCGCCATGATATCCACACCCCCCTAGTCATCACCCCCCTCTTTTCCGCCCCCGATTGCAATGGGGCGAACTTCCCCGTCGCTCCCCACGGGAGGTACGCCGGGTTTCTGGCGCCCCCTCTGGGGAGAGGGGAGGGGGGCGAGCACCGCATCCCACCGCACCGGCACCCAGCGGGAATTAATTCGATTGCTCGGTCCCGTCAACGAGGTCAAGGCGCCTGCGCGCGCCAAAACCTCCCCCGCCGTGTCGTCATTTCGCAAGCTCGGCATCTACTAAGGGAAACTGACTCAAGAAGTCCTCATCAAGAATTCTTACTACAGAATCACTACGAATCGGAAACTGAAGAAAAAATCTCCTTTAAGGAACCGTAAAAGAAGAACCCTTACTAAGGAACCTACATAAGGAATCCCCTCTGGAGATCCTTTAATAAAGAATCCTTCGCATGGGAACCTTAATCAGGAATCCCGACTCATGGAATCTTGAGCAAGAACCCATCCTACGGGAACAATATCAGACATCCCGACCAAGGCAGTAAAAAACCCTACTAAAGGAACCATAGAAAATCCCAACGAAGTACTCTTCGCAAAGAATCCATACGACATAGGGCATTCATAAGGCATCCTCACTAAGCCTTACAAAAAGAGCCCGACTAACACAATCCCTGCTCAGGAACCCGTCCTGCGGGAACTTCGTAAGTGGTCCCTGCTAAGGAGCCCTTAGTAAAGAAACCGGACTAAAGGATTTGTAACCAATCCTTTCCAAGGGGATATTTGTCAAGAAACCTTCCTGAGTGAACCTGAATCAACAAGTCTGACCTGGGAGCCTAAACAAAAAAAATTGCGAAAGGAACCTTCGAACATAATCCGTCCTACAAGAAATTGAATACAGATTCCGTATTACGGGACGATGAATTAGTCATCCTGGCTAACGAGCCCTAAGCACATCATCCTTACTAAGGAGAGCTGCGCAACATATTCCTCCCTCAGAACACCTTCTTTAATCATCGTACACCGGACTCACTTCTATAGCGCTCACTTCTATAGTGCTCACTTTGAAATTGTGGTCCGGAAGGGGCCGCACATGCAGGCACATGCCGCACAGTCGCATGCACATGCCCATGCAAATATACAAAAGCCTCAACAGCATTGCCGCACATGCGCGCACATGCCACACCGTCCGACGCACAGTCGAATGCACGGTCAAGCAAAACTCTGAAAGCATAGACGCACATGCCCGCACATGCCGCAGAGATGTCGCAGGCGATAGTGGCCTGACCACCTGAGCTCGGGGCATTTCGCAACCCAGAGTTCCGAGGATGTCTCAGGCAAGCGTGGCCGGATCACCATGGGGCAGGGCATCTTGGAAACCAGAGTGGCGAGGATGTCGCTGGTCAAGGTGACCAGACGACCATGGGGCAGGACACCTCCGAGGTCTGAGTTGTGAGGATGTCTCAAGCGAAAGTGGCCTGACCACCATGGGGCAAGAGATCTCTGAGGTCAGAGTTGCGAGGATGTCTCTGGGGAGAGTGGTCTGACCACCTCAGCCCAGGGCATCTCGGAGCCCAGAGTTGCGAGGATGTCTCAGGCAGGACTGGCCTGACCACCTGCTCAGGGCATCTCAGAACCCAGAGTTGCGAGGGTCTCAGGCGAAAAAGGCCGAGACACTATGGAGCAGGGCATCATTGAGGTCAGAGTTGCGAGGATGTCTCAGGCAAAAGTGGCCTGAACAGCTCAACTCAGGGCATCTCGGGCGAGGATGTCTAAAGCGAAAGTGGTCTAACCACCTCAACTCAGGGCGTCTCGGAACCCAGAGTTCCGAGGATGTCTCAGGCGAAAGGGGCCGAGACACTATCGAGCAGGGCATCATTGAGATCAGGGTTGCGAGGATGTCTCAGGCGACAGTGGCTGACAACCCCAGCTCGGGGCATATCGGAATCGAGACTTGCGAGGATGTCTCAGGCGACCGTGGCCTGACCAACATGGGGCAGGAGATCTCTGAGGTCAGAGTTGCGAGGATGTCTCATGCGAACGTGGTCTAACCACCTCAGCTCAGGGCGTCTCGAAACCCAGAGTCCCGAGGATGTCTCAAGCGAAAGTGGCCGGGCCACCATGGGGCAAGGCATCTCCGAAACCAGAGTTGCGAGGATGTTTCAGGCGAAGGTGGCCAGATCCCTTCATGTCAAAGCACGTCGGCCTCCAAATTGCCGACGACGTCTCACGCGGAACTGGCCGGACGCGAACGCGCCGGCGTCCGGAGACGAACGCCGGCCCCGGCATTCTTGCACGTCCCGCACATGCACTGCACAGGTACGCGCAGTATTCGCACAGGCCGAGCTCGCCGGTGGCCGAGCCAGGCCAGCGATTCCGAGATTCCCTGAGCTCGGGCCGTCAAGCCACTTTCGCCTGAGACAGCCTCGCAACTCTCACCTCCTCCTCCTCCTCCTCCTCCTCCTCCTCCTCCTCCTTCTCCTCTGGCCGAGCCGAACAGGCAGGCTGGCCAGTGACCGGGGGCGCCCGCCTCCTCCGCCCCCCCCTCCTCCCCCCCCTCTCCACCTCCCCCCCCCATCCCTGCTTCTCCGGCCGAGCTGAGAAGGCGCGCGGGAGAGTATTTTATTAGGCGGGCGCGCCACCGCCAGCTCACGAACCGGGCGAATAACCGCCCCCGCCAGCAGCGGGCGAGTCTAAACGCACAACAAACTCTTTCAGGAAACCCTGGCACGCCCCAGGTTAGCTCTGCGAAGGCCAGGAGGCATTGGAGGCACAGGGGTCCCAGACAGCTCCTAGGGCATGAGCGTGCATGTGCATTGGGATGTGCACGCATGTGCGCCCGCGCGCTTCACCGCATGTGCGTGCATGTGCGGGCCCGCGCGGCCTCCCGAAGAGAGGTTGCACATGCATGTGCGTGCATGTGCCGATGACAAATCTGCGATTCTCGAACACCTCCCGCATGTGCAGGCATGTGCGCGCATGTGCGTCGGACTGTGCGTGCATGTGCGTATGATGGATACATCAAAACACAGCGCACATGCCCCCGCACATGCCCGGGCACGACGTGCACAGTAGGAAGTCCATCCAAGAATGACCGCACAGGCCTGGCACATGACTGGCACATGCCGCGCACATGCGCGCACATGACAGCGCAAAAACGGCCGCACATACACCCACACAGGGGTATATATGTGACTGCGGTGTAAGAAAAAAAACAAACTTAGTGAAAACGATTGACGAAATCACCGTTGCGAAAGAAACGAACCAAAAACCCGTAAATAATATTCCGTTCTAAAAAAGCCTTGATACGGAATTCCTACTAGAGAACCCATAGTACAGAGTTCTCACGCAAAACCCCTGTTGAACATATTCCGTACTGAAGGAACAACCTCAGTAACGAATCCATACTAAGAAACCGTGCGCAAAAACTCCTTACGAAGGAAACTTCCGCACAATGAGACACAAACGAACTAATCCGCACGAAAGAACAATTCGCAACAATAAACCTTACTACGAGGGCCTTCGTAATGAACCCCTACTGGGAGAAGCTGATGAAATAATCCTTACTAAGGCCGCCTCCGAATCAAAAATACGTAGCACCCCGCAATTGCGGATAAGAGTGAGGGGGCGGGCGCGGGCGACGCGGGCGTCGTCGAGCCGGCGGACCTCGTGGCCCCAACCTTCCCTGTCGATGGCGCTCTCCTCCTCCTTCTCCTCCTCCTCCTCCTCCTCCTCCTCTTCCTCTTCTTCGTCCTCATCGTCATCGTCATCCTCCTCCTCCACCTCGTCCTCCTCTTCTTCTTCCTCGTCCTCCCTGTCCCCCCCTCGTCCTTTCATCATCGTCCTCCCATTGTCGTCCTCCCTCTCATCGGCCTCCATCATCGTCCTCCCATTGTCGTCCACCATCATCATCATATACGCCCGCAGATGCGGATAAGAGTGATGGGGCGGTGGGGACGTCGGCAGTTTGCAACTCCGGAGAAGCCCGCCGCAAGCGCCAACGTTTCACAAATTATAAAACGAGCAGGCCGCAGGCGCCGATTTTGTCGTTAAACCCATGTGGGTGGGTCGCGGGTGGGTCGCACATGGGTCGCGAGTGGGTCGCAAATGGGTCGCGGGTGCCGAGAACAGAAAATCCACTCCATAATAATCACCCCGACATGCGAAGCCGTTCAAGAAACGCACACACGGAATGAATCAAACCGGGCAAAGGTGTTTAATCAACGCCCAGGGCCGTTTAAAAAAAAACATCAATTGTCGGGTCTGGGTGTTTTTTTCTCCCTTGAGGGTGGGTCGCGGGGTGGGTTGTGGCTGGGTCGCGGGGTGGGTCGCAGATGGGTCGCGGATCGCGGGGTGGGTCGCGGGTGGGTCGCGGGGTGGGTCGCGGGTGGATGGCGGGTGGGTCACGGGTGGGTCGCGGGGTGGGTCGCGGGTTGGTCGCGGGTTGGTCGCGGGTGGGTCGCGGGGTGGTTCGCGGGGTGGGTCGCGGGGTTGGTCGCGGAATGGGTCGTGGGATGGGTCGCGAGGGGGTCGCGGGTAGGACGACGGAAACAAACAACAACAACAACAACAACAACAACAACAACAACAACAACAACAACGACGACGACGACGACGACAACAACAACAACAGCAACAACAACAACCACAACAACAACAACAACAGCAGCAGCAGCAACAACAACAACCATAACAACACCAACAACAACAGCAACAACAACGCAACAAACAACACCGATAACAACAACAACACCAACAACAACAACAGCAACAACAACCATAACACCAACAACAACAGCAACAACAACACAACAAACAACACCGATACCAACAACAACAACAACAACAACAGCCACCACAACAAAACAACACCAATAACAACAACACCACCACCAACACCACCACCACCAACAACAACAACAACAAACAGCAACAACATAAATTACGCATCGTGTGAATCAATTGCGATGAAGTCCCACGCGAGAGCGCGATTCGTCTACACATTGTGAGAATGTCCCGCGCGAGAGCGCGATTTGGGAATACATTGTGACGAGATATCAGGCGGGAACCGTTGTTGTTGTAAACCGGGGGCCAGGGGCCCAGTTTGCTCCGAGTGACTTCCCCTAAGAACAAAAAAAAACAGGGTGCGAACCTCGGGGGAAGCACTTCAATTAAAAAACACAATGGTCACCGGAGGGGGGGATCAACAATACTTATTGTTCAATCGTGAGAGCTCAACAACTTTCAGGCCATGACTTCTTCCTACATTCATCGCTGGTGTTAGGTAACCGAACTCTGTACACCGACGCCTTTGTCTGGCCTCACACTGGATCTCGCACAGGAAAGCGGATCCCTGTGTATATGGGATCCTGGTGTATACATTCTTCTTCCCCAGGAGAACGGGAAAAACAGTATACACCACACCACCCCGACGTCGTCCCCGACCCTCAAAGACGTCCTGGGACTGAAAAGCCGCCCGCCACTGGTAATGTATATGCTCCAGCTTCCGAAATCCAGAAACTTCTGGCAATGACCTCTGCCTACATCCATCGCTGGTGTACAAGTCGCAATATGCTGCTACCACGGTCCCGAGTGGGGCCTCCGAGGCAGATGGCTGCGGAGGCGGGGTGCCGCTGCTGCCGTTCGGCCGATCCCGCGGGCGCCTGAGCCGTCCACGTAACAATAACCTACCAGAAATGCAGTTCACAACAATTTTTACGTGATGTCCAGAGAGTGGGGGCGGCCGAAGCTTTCCCCCCCCTTGTACCACGTGGGGGCTCGAGAATGATCGAGGGTCGAGGGGAAGGATCGAGTCGAGGAGGAGAAGGAGGAGGAGGAGATGGAGGATGAGAAGGAGGATCGAGACGGAGGGTCGAGGAGGATCGAGGAGGAGGAGTGTCGAGGAGGAGGAGGAGGAGGAGGAGCGAAGGGGAGGTGGAGGAGAAGGAGGGGGGACGTTAGACTTAACGCTCACGCCTCTGTAATTTGACATGGGAGGTGGAACGAGCCCGAGGACGGTCCGCAAGAGCACCCCAGACGAAGTAGAGCAGTGGCACGAGGGGGACGTACAGCTGCAAAGAGGAGGGGGTCGAAGATCGAGGACCCAGAGATCCGATGCCACATTTTTTCAGCACGGGGTCCACTGAGGTCTCGACACATTCCCAAGACCGGCTCTTCATCCTGAGTCTTTTTCTTGACGGATCCAGTAGAGACCTCCTAGATGGGGTCGGAGTAGATGGGGTCGGAGGATCGCGCCGCATCGCCGATGCATCGGCGATGCATCGTCGACGTCGGCAATGCATCGGCGACGTCGACGTGAAGCAAATCGGGCTCCACATCGAGCCGCATCGCCGATGCGTCGCCGAAGCATGGGCGACGTGGTGCGATCCTCCAACCCTATGGACTCCGATCCCATCTGGTAGGCATCGAATGTCCAAGACGCTGGTTCTCGGGGGAGCATCCAGGATCCTGAGGAGGACCACGGCGGCACGGGGTGCTGCCGCGCACGGAGCACCAGAGCAGGAGGAGGGTAACGAGGGTAACGATGATGCGCGACGTCCCGAGGAGGAGGAGGAGCAGGAGGAGGAGGAGGAGGACGAGAAGGAGGAGGAGGACGAGGAGGTGGAATAGGAGGAGGAGGAGGAGGAGGAGGAGGAGGAGGAGGAGAGGAGGAGGAGAGGAGGAGGAGGGGGGTGGAGGAGGAGGGAAGAGGAGGGCAAGGAGGAGGACGAGGAGGAGGGATGGAGGGTGGCGGGGGGCGCGCCCGCGCACGGTGCCCGCGGGGCGTCCGCCCAGAGCCCCGGGGGTGCGCGCCTCGGCATGCCCGACCCCGTTGCCGAAGACCTGCGCGCGGGCCGCGCCGGCGCGCCCCGCGGCCGCCAGGGGGGGCCTCTCGGGGGCCTCCTTGGGGCCTCTCGGGGGCCCCTCCTCCTCCTCCTCCCTCCTCCTCCTCCTCCTCCTCCTCCTCCTCCTTCCCCTCCTCCTCCCCTCCCCTTCCTTCCTCCTCCCCCCTCCTCCTCCTCGACCCTCCTCCTCCCCCTCCTCCACCTCCTCCTCCTCCTCCTCATCATCTTAGAGGCTTCTTGATGGGGTCGGAGCAGATGCGGTCGGAGGATCGCGCCGCATTGTCGACGACGACGTGAAGCACATCGCGGGTTCCACATCGAACCACAACGCCGGTGCATCGGCAATGCGGCGCGATGCGCCGACACCATGTACTCCGACCCCATCCAGGCGGCCTAGATATTGAGGGCCTCGTGGGGCCTCCGGGGGGCCTCCCGGGGCCGAGGGCTTGAAGCGTCCTTTCGGGCAGGGCGGCAGGCAGGGAGGAGGACCAGTGCAAACGCAAGACCCACCAACAGTGCTGGAATGCACCCTCCCTCCAGGCTCCCTCTTCATGGGCCCCATACATGGATCACTGAGGGAAGTGCCCCGTTGAAGGACAGCCGAAAGGAGATCCTGAAGCGCGCCAGGACGACATTGTCGGAACTCCAACGCCACGAATCAACCTGACTATTGCGGCGTGGCGGTCGTAAATCGTGCCAAAATGCCTTCTTGGGACTTCAACACCGCGAATAAACGTGAACTGTCGCGCCTTGATAAATCCTGCATCGCTGCAAACTGTCTGTTCTGGTACACTGACCATGCGAATCTGCGAAACTCTTGCAATGTGTAAACGAATGTGCGCGGCGCTGAGGCGAGAATCATATTTAAAAACAATCCGCCCTCAATCCGTGAAACTCTAACTGTTTAAGACAAGAATATGCGGCGCTAAGGCGAGAGCCACCTTTTGAAAACGACCTGTCCTCGATCCCTGTAGCCCTTGCAATGTTTTAGCCAGATGGGCGCAACGTCTCCAATCCCAGAAATTCTTTCAAACTTTTGCAAAAAGTGCGCGCGGTGCTAAGGCATGAGCTACTGCACATTTTGAAAACCACCCGCCCTCTATCTGTGAAACTGCTGCGGTGGGCGGCGCCGGGCCTCCTCCCTCTGGCCGCAGGGGCGGGCGGCAGGGAGGGAGGGGGGAGAGAGGGAGGAGGTAGAGGTGGAGGTGGAGGGGGAGGTAGAGGAGGTGGAGATGCAGGTGGAGGTTGAGGTTGAGGGAAGAGGTGGAGGTGAAAGAGGAGGGGGGATCACGAGCGGCGAATGTGTCTATATCCACGCCCTTGCGGTCTGGATTCCGGGGCGCGATCATGCGGATGCGCGATCGCACGGAGATGTTCCGCGCGGGGCACCCAAGAACAAAAGCGCCCCGCATATCCGCGGGGTCGCGGCCCGGGAGCCCGGCCCGCGAGTCTGTGGATACGGATATGTTTTTCGCCCACGGAAAGGGGGGGGGAGAGAGGACGGGAGGAGGAAGAGGAGGAAGAGGAGAAGGAGGAGGTAGAGGATGGACGAACAGAACAAGATGATTGTCATGCTGAACATTGGTTCCTGACTGGCGGCTTTGCCCAAGAAGACGTGAAACACATTAAGGATCTTCGTCTTGCCACAGAGGGGCAAACACCTGCGACCTCGCTGGGAGGGAAGGAGGCTGGCCCGAAACCAGGACCGTCTGAAAGGGGCAGACCCACGACGGAGGATGGAGCGGAAGGAGGAGGAAAGAGCGTGAAAAGGTCTCCGGAGGACAAGGGGCGGGCTCAGCAATGGCGGCACAAGCTTTGTCCCTGGAGCCTGGACCGAGCTTTGATTCTCAAGCGAGGAAGACGGCCTAGACGACAACGACGACGACAACGGCGGCGACAACACCACGGCGCGTCGCGTGCCTTGTCGAACCTCCGCACCATGTCCTGCGCAGGAAGGAGGCGGCGGAAGATCTCCGTCCTTTCCCTCTCCCCCTTCCATCCACCTCATCACTCCTCCTCCTCCTCCTCCTCCTCCTCCTCCTCCTCCTCCTCCTCCTCCTCTACCTCTACCTCTACCTTCTCCTCCTCCTCTCCCTCCCCCTCCTCCTCCTTCTCCTCTTTCTCCTCCTCCTTCTCTCCCTCCCCCCTCACATGCAATATGTCGTCTCCACACCTATGTACTTCTCTTCCTCCTCCTCCTCCTCCTCCTCCTCCTTCAGCTCCTCCTCCTCCTCCTCCTCCTCCTTCTCTTCATCCTCACTCCCCCCCCCACTGCTCCTCCTTCTCCTCTTCCTCACCCTCTTCCTTTTCCTCCGTCTCTGCTCGTTCCTCCTGCCCTTGCTCCATATCATGCTGCTGGTCATCATCATCCTGCTCATCCATGCATGCCTCTCGGGAGGAGGAAAGATGATGGAGGGGACAGGATTGTGCTGATGCTGATGAGGAGGATCATAATGATGGTGATGATGCTACTGATGATGATAATGATGGTGACGACGATGACGCCGATGATGCCGATACTGATCAGAAGGGGAGAGGGGGGGAGGGCTCATGTATACATTCAGATGTGATGAAATCGGACAGGATCACGGGGAAATCTCGTCATCCTGCCCAGGCCTCCTCATCCCGTACGCCTACTCATGCCCCTTACCCTCCTCCTCTTGATCCCAAATCCCCCCTCGTCTATTATTGATTGCGGGCTTCTCATCTGCATCCTCCCCCCATCCCTCAATGATTCGTTCACTGCCTCCCTCCATCCTCTCTTTCTCTTATTCTCCCTATTCCCTCCTCCTCCGTGCTTCCTCCGTCACCCCCTTCCCACTCTCATCGTGCCCCTCCTGGTCCCTCGGGGAAGGATCGGATTACGTGACACACCACGAGCAGATACGATACCGACCACGACTCCGATGTCAGTTGTCTGCTGGCTGGTTACAATGCTGCATTGAGGCAAGGGCACTCTAGAATCAGCTCCTTCTCCACCCTGCAACCATCTCCGCATCCTCCTGCCCCAAAGCAGAGTGTGAAGAGAACTGAATGTATTACGTTTTACGCCATCCCTGCATGCGTGACAAACATGAGGCCATGCGATCCGAATCACCATCGTTGTCTAATCTTGCTTTCTCGCTCCGCCCTGCAATCCGCCCTGCGCCCCACCCGCGACACATTCACCACCCATCCGCGCACCACCCTAGACACACATCCGCGACCCACCCGCGCCGCATCCGCGCCGGTTTGCAGACCGGAATCGCCGCATTCGGCGGGCTAGTTGTGCTGAGAAAGACTGGCGCCGACGGTTCGATTCATATTGTCTCCAAGGCTTCGGAGTCCGCTGGTGGCGTGATCCTCGGCTGACCCACATTTGCTTGCAAACGGCCAACGGCTGGCTGATGGTGTGGCGAAAAACTCTGGGTCCGTGGCGAAAATCTTGGCATCCGCGCTCGAGGCCCGCACCCCCAGCAACCCAACCCGGACACCCCTCACTATCACCCGCAATGGCGGGGCCTATGTGTTCCTCACCTTGTTGTTTGTCCTTTTGGGGAGCGGGCGAATATGAGGCGAGAGGAGGAGGGAAGCGAAGAATGAGCAGGAGGAGGAGGAGACGGATGATGATGATGATGATGATGATGATGAAGATGAAGATGAAGATGAAGATGAAGATGATGATGATGATGATGATGATGATGATGATGATGATGATGATGATGATGAGGAGGAGGAGGAGGAGGAGGAGGAGGATGATGCTGCTGATGCTGATGCTGATGTCGATACTGATTGTGAAGATGATGCTGATGCTGATGATGATGACGATGATGCTAATGATGACGGTGATGATGATGCTGATGATGCTGCGGAGGAGAAGGAGGAGGAGGAGGAGGGGGGAGGAGGAGGATGAGGAGGAGGAGCAGGAGGAGGAGAAGGAGCAGAACGAGGAGGAAGAGGATGAGGAGGAGGAGGGAAGAGGAGGTGGAGGAGGAGGTGGAGGAGGAGGACTATGCTTCGACTATGCTGTTCTTGGGGGTTGCCCGTGGGGCCGGGCGACTCCCCGGCGCAGGAAGCATCCGCCCCCGTGGGACTTCGGGTGCCGCGCCTTGGAGAGCGGGGGATGCCGCTGCCCCAGGGGGGCACCCTTGGCGGGGGAGCACGGCGTCCCCGCCCGCCGAAGGGAACCGTCCTCCCCCCCGCGGGCCTCGCAGCGGGGCGGCTCCCTGGGCACGCCCCCCCCGCGGGCCCGACCTGCTTGCGCAATTACTCAGTATGAATACCACTCTGCTCTCTCCCCAGACGAAGGGGGCGGTGGAGGGAGAGGGAAGAGGAGGATGGAGGGAGGGAGGGAGGGAGGGAGGGCGGGAGGAGGAGGAAGACGAAGGGGAGGAGGAGGAGGAGGAGGAGGAGGAGGAGGAGGAGGAGGAGGAGGAGGACCAGTGTAAACCCAACAGACATTCATCAACGATGTTGGAATAAACCCTCCCTCCAAGCTCCCTCTTCATAGGCCCCTACAACGGTTTACGAATCAACATAACTGCTGCAACCTCATAGTCCTGAAGTATTTCCCAAAACAATTTCTGGCACGCTGATGGTGTATATATGTGAGACCCTTGTAAATGTTTAAAACAAATGTACGCGGCGCTACAGCGAGAACCACACCTTGAAATTAAACTGCCCTCCATCTGTGAAACTCGTGCACTCTCTTTAAAGAATGTGCGCGGCGCTACGGCGAGAGCCACATTGTGAAAAACACCCGCCCTCAATCCGTGAAACTCTTCCACATTGTAAAAAGAATGTGCGCGGTACTACGGCTAGCACCTCAAAGAAAACCACCCGCCCTGAATCCGTGAAACTCTTGCAGCTTTGCAGAACGAATGTGCGCAGTGCTAAGGCGAGAACCACATTTTGAAATCCACCCGCCCTCCATCTGTGAAACTCTTGTGACATGTTAAGCTTCAGGGTCATACGTGGTGAAGGAGCCTCCGGCAAAACGCCAGGCCCGCCCTCAAAATTTGCCTCGTGCGACAGGGAGAAATTATGCATTGGAAAAGGAATGGAAGAGGGAGGAGGGAGGAGGAGAAGGCGGAGAAGCAGGAGGAGAAGGAGAAGGAGGAGGAACGGGGAGGAGAAGGGAGGAGGAGGGAGGCGGAGGAGGAGGAGGAGAGAGAGAGGGGGAGGAGGAGAGAGGGAGTGAGAAGAGGGAGAGAGGAAAGGAGGGAAGGAGGGAGGGATGGAGGGGGAAGGAGTAGGGAGGGTGGGAGGGGAGGAAGGGGAGGAGGACTGGGAGAAGGAGGAAGACATGATAAACTTACGATACAGTCGCACCGGGCAAGCGTCTCGCGGGGGTGATGCCCATCGAAGGAGCACAAGATCGGAGAAAATGACGAGGAAGCTGAAAGCACCCGTGTTCTCCCATCTGTTCCTGGAAAGCTACGTTGATTCTGCGTCTGCGTGTGCCTCCCCTCCTGAGAGGTGAGGGGAAGGGACGGGCGACGAGGGAAACGAACGACCGAAGATCGGCCAGGCGTCTTCGCAGAATACGCGACGGCTTGCCTCGCCGCCTCCTGAGAAGGCCTCATATTTATATATAAATACATATATAAATATACATATACATACATATATCCAAATATGTATTTATATACATATATAAATATACCTGTATATATATGTGACAGAAAAGAATCGTTGTCTAAGAATTGGCGTCGCCAAAACCTCCGCCAACCCTCCTGAGCAACGCCGTGCCAACTCGTGCGACGAAGGACCCGGCCAACCCTCGTGGCCAACCTCCGGAGATCGCGCGAACCTTCCCGACCAACCCCCTCCTGACCACCTACCAAACCACCCCAACCCAACCCGAAGACCCTAATTTGACCAGAAGTTCGGGTTGGGGGGGATACGGATTCCACGTGTTTTTGTCGATGTTCCCCGAACCCCCCCCCTGGAAATGGAGGGCAAATCGTGGCCTTCGGGTTGGGTTGGGGTGGTTTGGTGGGCGGTGACCTCTGGCCAACCCTGGCCAATTCTTTCCATCCGCCGACCCCTCCCCTCGGGGGGGTGGACAGAACCCCCTCTCGCAGAACGCAGTTTAGTGGCGGTTGCCTGGGGCACTCCGCGTGCGCACGGCACCGCATGCCGAGAACAACCCAGCGAGGTCGCGAATCACGTCCAGAAACAAACGAATGCATCCAGCGACACTGAAGGGGCCCAAGGACACACAAATAAATACACACACACATAAAACAGATTCTCTATATTTTCCCATATTTTCTGGGTTTCTGTTTTCCCCCACACTTCCCATATTTTCCTATATTTTCTGGGGAATCGCAGACTAATTGTGTCTGTGTGTTTTTTCCTCTCCGGAGACACACACGTCGATGAATGTCACCGGCTATCAAGACTGCACCGGCACACTCGAATGTCAGCGTCGAGTGAACCAGTGCAGATGACCACAGTCGACTTGTCTGGGTATGCGTCCTCTCGGCTGGCAAAGCATGGCCGGGGCCGGGGACGCACTGAAATAAGAAGAAGCGCCATGAAATCTGCGGAGATATCATGCCCCCCGCCATGAGATCCCCCCCCGTCGCATCCGTGCCAAATCCACGTCGAACGCGTCGAGTCCGCGTCGAAGCCGTGTTGGATCCGTGTCGAGTCAACGTCGACTTCACGATTAATCCGCGTCCAGCTCGCGTCGGAGCACAAGAACATATTGCCACTTACAGGGCAGGTCAGGTCCCCCGAAGATGCAGCGCAGCCTCAGGTCGGGCGTGTCCCCCCAACAGGCCGACTTCGGACGAAGAATACAACACTGTCAACACATATCCAAACATGGCCAACAGAAAGTCGGAACATCGTCCCCAGATTCATGTTCTGATTACTGTTGATAGAGGGAAAAGAACTATGCACATGCACCGATTCTGGCCAGGCCCATCCTGAGCCCAGGATCGGTGCATACGCCC